ATAACATTTAATAAAAAAAAACCCTCTCCAAGTACAGAGAGAGAGAGAGACACCCGCAGACTAGGGCAAAACAAACTCCAGGACAGGCCCGCACCAAGGATCTTCTTTGGCTCCTTTAAAGACTTATGGACTTCAACTCCCAGAATTCCTCAGCCAGCATGGAATTCTGGGAGTTGAAGTCCACAACTCTTAAAATCTGCCGAGTCGGGAGACCCCTGTCCTAACGAATCTCTTCCCCAGAGGAAGAAAGCACCAATGCCCTAGCTCAGGGGTAGTTTCTGGAAGGATTTGGAATGGGGGGGGAGGGGAGGAAGCAAAAAGCAAAAAGGGAGGGACAGCACATCCCCTCCCTTCTCAGCTCCTTGCCCAGCTTCCTTCCCTCAGGCTTCACTGCATATAGACTATCCTGCTTGAGCAAGGGGTTGGACTAGAAGACCTCCAGAGTCCCTTCCAACGGTGTTGTCCTGTTCTGTTCTATTCTCTGGCAGAAGGGCCTGCACAGCCAGATGCTGGGAAGGGCCACTGTGTCTCTGCCCCCCCCCCACCCCCCAGGAGTGCCATCCTATCCTCCTTGACCCGAGAGCCAGGACAGCGGAGGCAGCATCAAAGTGGGCAGAGGGTGGGGGCTCCGTGAAGCTGCCTGGGACTCTGGTGGGTGCCAGGGAGCAACAAAGATGATTAGGGGACTGGAGGCCAAAGCATATAAGGAAAGGCTGCTGGAATTGGGTATGTCTAGTTTAATGAAGAGAAGGATGAGGGGGGACATGATAGCAGTGTTCCAGTATCTCAGGGGCTGCCACAAAGAAGAGGGAGTCAAGCTATTTTCCAAGGCACCTGAGGGCAGGACAAGAAGTAACAGAAACTAATCAAGGAGAGAAGCAACCTAGAACTAAGGAGAAACTTCCTGACAGTTAGAACAATTAACCAGTGGAACAACCTGCCTCCAGAAGCGGTGAATGCTCCAACACTGGAAGTTTTTAAGAAGAGACTGGACAGCCATTTGTCTGAAATGGTATAGGGTTTCCTGCCTGAGCAGGGGATTGGACTAGATGACCTC